ACAAGTAGTGATTTTACAGCATCTCACTATGCTGATGGACAGTGACTAATGGGGTATGTGGGGGGGACTTGGTGAAGGGGGGAGTCTAGTAAACATAATGTTCCTCACATAATTGTAGACTGATACCAAAATAAAAATAAAGATAAATGAGAGTTCCTGTGGCCAGGATTCTCACCAGGCCCTGGTTGACTAGCTCACTGCACACCTGCGGGCACTACAAGGCTGCTGACTCTATAAAAAGAGCTCTGCTCAGTGCTCTGGGCATGACACGGTGGTAGGGCTGCAAGGCTGCAGGAGAGCAGAGCAGAGGCTGGAGTGGTGGCAGTACCGAGGACAGAGGCCCAGAGGACGGCTGTGCGGGACGACTGTGCAGAGGCCCAGAGGACAGCTGGGCAGACAGAGAGACCCAGAGGCAGAGACCGGCTTGCTGCACACAGACTCGCTCTGAGTGAATGGGATTCTAGTGACTGACCTGCCACATGGAAATAAAGTTGGGTATAACCCTTTCACCCCCCAAGAACATTTTGTTGTTGATTCCTTTGGTCACAATGAATCCATAGCAAACTTGCCTGGGGCTAAAACCCATTGGCAAGACAACTGGAAAAAGTTGGCAGGATTCATTGTTGACCAAGGAAAAAGAGAGGCTGCCCTTATGGGAGGGGTGCTTCAGCGGGCTGCCCCTGTGAATGGGGAAACAGTGGATCATCCCCCAATGGGTATGTGGTCTGAGGTGGCTTGCCTCCTAGAGGACTGGGCCCCACCCCAGGACTGGAGGCAAGTGGAGGTGACACCTGAGGCTGTAGGGGTGGCCCTTGGTATAGTAAATAGATCCTTTGAGAAGCAGAGTGCCCGAGAGGCAGTGGGGACTGTGGGTTGGCTGTAGTCTTAAAAAGGTCTACAGAGGAGACCCAAGAAATGGCGGCATGAGAATGCAAGCTGCAAACTTCTGTGGATTCCCTGAGGAAGGAGATGATGGCATTGATATGAGAGGAGGCAGCACAAGAGCGCCAGCAGCAAGGTGCCATTGGAGATGAGATGGCAGTGCTGCCAGGTGTTCTGGAGGAGGAAGAGGCCGTCAAGAAAAAAGACGAACTCCTGAGGGAAGCACAGGCGGAGGTGGCATGAGAATGTCAGCTGCGAAGCATTGAGCTGAAGGTAAGAGAGCTTCTGAAGACCGAGCTGGCACTGCTGAGGGGCACTGTAGCAGAGGAGGCACTTGGGGGAGTGGAGAGAAAGGTGCTATCAGCCCCAGAAATGGAGGAGCTGGGGAAGGATGAAGGGGTGGCGCTGGAGGCAGTGGCGCCTCCTGTATTGAAAGCACGCCCAGTGGTTGTAAAGAAAATAAAGACCCAGCAGCTGAAAGTCCCCCAAGGAGAGGAGCAGCCCCCTCCCCGGATTGTGGAGCACTCTATGCTCTGCCCCTATACTCAGGCTAAGCCGGTGGCTGTGGGACTTAGAGGCGGATGGAATTGTTCTGTTTGGATCAGAGATGGGAAAGCTGTCTTCCCTGACAGTGCAGCCCACCTTGAGGCAGCAATTACAAAGTGCGAGGTGACATGTACAGTAGCTGAAGCAACAAGAACCTGGAAAGAAATAAGACCTATTACTCACAGGAGGAATTTGAGGGGCCTCGTGAGGGTTACCAGGACCCAGTGGTGGGTTGATTTGATATGGGCAGGAGTAGATGGAAGGAAATTAGATGGGAAGCCAAATAGGATCTTACTGGAGTTATGGCAACAGCTGAAACCAGAGCAGCAGTTCCAGCCATTAAGACCAAAGAGGCAAAGGTCAGAGAGAGAGCCACGAGTCCAGCCTGTGTATCTGCAAGACTTTTTGCTGGAGAGGCTGGAGAACAATGTTCAAGCTTCCTTGCACAGGGACCATTGCAGAGGACTGAGGGCACATAGATTGAGAGGAGAGAATCCTGGACAGGTGGAGTGTGGATAAAATGAGAGTTCCTGTGGCCAGGATTCTCACCTGGCTGTGGTTGACTAGCTCACTGCACACTTGTGGGCTCTACATGGCTGTTGACTCTATAAAAAGAGCTCCACTCAGTGCTCTGGGCATGACACAGTGGCAGGGCTGCAAGGTTGCAGGAGAGTAGAGCAGAGGCTGGAGTGGTGGCAATGCCAAGGACAGAGGCCCAGAGGACGGCTGTGTGGGACAACTGTGCAGAGAGGCCCGGAGGACGGCTGGGCAGACAGAGGGGCCCAGAGGCAGAGACAGGCTTGCTGCATGCAGACTCGCTCTGAGTTAATGGGATTCTAGTGACTGACTTGCCACGTGGAAATGAAGTTGGGTATAACCCTTTCACCCCCAAGAACGTTTTGCTGGCATTTTCTTTAGTCACACTGAATCCACAGCGAACTTGCCCGGGGCTGAAACCCATTGGCAAGACATAAACACAACTTAAAACATTTACCAACTAGTGTGTATCCTTAATTTGTTACCCCTGAATGAGGTACATTTGTACTTATAGAAAAAGAACTGTCTTTAAGTCCTCCTTAGTAGGAGTAGGCAATTGATATTTCCAAAATTCTTTTTCTATAGTCTCTCTAAGAAATCAAACGTGACCCAGAAAGAAAATCTGGATATCAGTTATTCTAAAAGGGTAATGATGTGATTGGAGAGCACCAGTTTAGTGCATACTCTTTTGCCCAAATAAACAAGGGACAGGCTGAGGATTTACCCCTTTTTTCCGTGGATTTCAGATATGCCTTTATCATTCACCTTACTTAAAAGGAACAGAAACCAGTTCTATATTAAAATTTTCCTATACAACAAGGTCTCTCATAAAGATCTATAAAAAAAAATACAAATCTCTTGTGAAAGTTTTAGTTGACATGAAAATCACTTAAACCCCACTTCTAACAGTCTTCAGGCAATTAAAGAATATGTATTCTTGTATTTTACAATTTTTTCCTATAGTTTTTAAGATAGAGAAGATTTTTCCTAATTACAACCCTTAAATAGAATTCATGCCTCATATCGTATTTACCGAGTATCATAATTCCTCCAAGTGGTAAAGATACCTCAAGACAAATGCTGGGCATAGAAGCCACAGGGCATAAATCTGCAAAGAAGTAAAAAGCTAACCTTTTCAAACAATATGGCTTCTCTCTCACTTACCAACTTTACATCTCCCTGTGTGGCCCCGGAAGATGACTGTTTAGC